CCCACACACACACACACACCCTGCACCACACACACACACACACACACACTGCAGCACATAAACACTCTCTCATACACACACACACACTGCAGAACATAAACACTCACACACACACTGCAGCACATAAACACTCTCTCACACACACTGCAGCACATAAACACTCTCACACACACTGCAGCGCATAAACACTCTCACACACACACACACACACATTGCAGCACATAAACACTCACACACACTGCAGCACATAATCACTCTGTCTCACACACATACACAGACACACACACACACACTGCAGCACAAAAACACTCTCTCTCTCACACACACACACACTGCAGCACAAAAACACTCTCTCTCTCACACACACACACACTGCAGCACAAAAACACTCTCTCTCTCACACACACACACACTGCAGCACAAAAACACTCTCTCTCTCACACACACACACACTGCAGCACAAAAACACTCTCTCTCTCACACACACACACACTGCAGCACAAAAACACTCTCTCTCTCACACACACACACACTGCAGCACAAAAACACTCTCTCTCTCACACACACACACACTGCAGCACAAAAACACTCTCTCTCTCACACACACACACACTGCAGCACAAAAACACTCTCTCTCTCACACACACACACACTGCAGCACAAAAACACTCTCTCTCTCACACACACACACACTGCAGCACAAAAACACTCTCTCTCTCACACACACACACACTGCAGCACAAAAACACTCTCTCTCTCACACACACACACACTGCAGCACAAAAACACTCTCTCTCTCACACACACACACACTGCAGCACAAAAACACTCTCTCTCTCACACACACACACACTGCAGCACAAAAACACTCTCTCTCTCACACACACACACACTGCAGCACAAAAACACTCTCTCTCTCACACACACACACACTGCAGCACAAAAACACTCTCTCTCTCACACACACACACACACACACACACACACACACACACTGCAGCACATAAATACTCTCTCACACACACACACACACTGCAGCACATAAACACTCTCTCTCACACACACTCACACATTGCAGCACATAAACACTCTCTCACACACACACTGCAGCACATACACACTCTCTCACACACACACA